TGTCCATGTGTTCTCATTGTTCAACACCCGCCTATGAGTGAGAACATGTGGTGTTTGATTTTCTGCTCTTGTGTCAGTTTGCTGAGAATGATGATTTCCACGTTCATCCATGTCCCCCCTTCCTGAAGAATGATATTTAAGCACATAACTTTACGAAGTACAAGGACAAGCCATACGAAAAATTTTGGAGAAGAGCAATCCACACAAAGAAGCCAGCACATGCAAATACCCAGAATCAGAAATAGGTCTGTCATGTATGCATAAGAACTGCAGAAGTATGCAGGGGTCAGTAGGTCACGCCACAATGTTGATTTCTAAGTTGATGTGAAACCAATAGGTTGTTTTAGATGATGTGTTCTGACTCATACTCAAAGAAGGTCAGTTTATTTGGTGTGCAGAGAGTAGACTATAGAAAGCAAATGTAAAATCTGAGAGAAAAGGTAATATTCTATCAGAGTAGTCAAGGTGGGAGATGATTACAGCTTGTTCTAAAAAAAAAAGCTATTGAGAGAATGAGAAATGGTCACACTTGGGACATATTCTGAAGGCAGAGCTGGACATACTTTCAGATGGATTGGATGTGGAACACAAGAAAAAAAGCAAAATTAAAGAAATTCCTTTGATTCTGTGCAAATTGCTGAACAATAGTGGCACCTTTTAAAAAGGTTGGGAAAAGAGAGAAACTGGATGAATAACAAAGATGGGCATCTGAAGTTCCCTTTTGCATGTGTTCAGTTCAAGGTTCTTTTGGGGCTGTCAAGTAAAAGTGCTGAGTATGATTATCGATGTTACATATGAGACTCAATCTGAGAGAACAGATTGAAGCTACAAAGACACATTTGGTTGTCATTAGCCATATTAAGCCATGGGGTATGATGAACTAGAATATAGAATGAATATAGATATAGAAGATGTAAAAGGGGAAAAAGAGATTTTTTTTAACTTTTGTGGGTCTCATATTTTATCAATAAAATGGGAAAAACAGAAAGAAAAGGCATGAAGTTAATTTTATCATCATTCTAAATGGTTAACTGCTGCTCCATTATATTTTTAAAGTTAATATTGTACTCAGTGGTATATTTTGCCATATTTTTAATATAATAAATCTCAGTATGCACTTGAGTCTATTTTTGGGTTTTGTGTTTTGTTGCAATTGCTAAAAAATTCAAGTGCTACAACAACTCTCTTTTAGTTATAAACTCTTTATATTTTAATATCTGATAGGGATAGTTCCCTCTAATTGCTCTTCATTTTCATGGTTTTTCTTATTATACTTACATATTTTAGGAGAACTTCAGAGTCAATCTGTTTAATATAAGAAAAATACATATTGATCTATTTATTAATATCACATTAAATTTCTAAATGAAGTTTTCATCAGTTTTGTTGCTATTATAGATGTTTTCTCTTTAAATCTTCAAGCTCATTCTTCAAGCTCATTCTTCAAGCTTCAAACTATTACATAGTTTACATAAATAGAGATAATTTACTTTGCCTTTTCCAATTACTTTGTTTTCTCATCTAATTATTTAGAATAATATATCCAATAAAACTTTAAAGAGAAAAACAATGTTAAGTTATACTTAAAATATTGAACAGTAAGGGAGATAGTGGAAATACTTATTCTTTTTGACCTTATAAGAATTCCTCTAATATTTCCTCATTAAGTAAGTGGTAATTTTGTAAGTGGTTATTTATATATGTACATGTATACTCATGTATATTCAATATACATATATGTACATATATATTCAATATATGCTATGGAAGTATATATGTGGAGGGTATAGGTGTGTGTGCCTATATGTGGATGCCTTAAAATGTGAACATAGATGTTAAGGAAGTCTGTGTAAGCATAGATGGACATATATGGATGTATGGATGTGTGTATATGTATATGTATATATATAAAACCCATAATTTTTTTACTTGAATACATTTATGAGGAATGTATGAGTTTTGCCACAGGAATTTCAGAATCAATTGAGATTTGCCATATAATTGTTTTTCTAACATCTATGAGGAATTGTAATGGGCTTCTAATACTGAATCACTTTTGTGTTATTAGACTAAACTCCACTCGGTTATAATGTATTATTTTCTTAACTTTTTATTGAACTGTCCATTCAAAATTTTTTACATTTTTATATTCACAAACAAGATAGCTCTGCAGTTTCTTTCTTCCTGTGCAATCTTTGTTATGGTTAGGTATCAACATCATACTTGCATCATAAAAATAATTTGAAAGTTTTACTGTACTGGGTAAGATTTGAAGCAATTTAAATAGTAGTGAGATTATCTGGTATATGAGCACATCTGGACATGGTTTATTTTTGCTAGAATAATTCTTTAATAGATTTCTTATTTTAGTTATAGAAATTGGTCTATTTAAGCTTCATTTCTCTACCATGGTCAATTCAAATAACTTAAATTTTTCTAGTAAATTAACCATTTAATCAATGTAGATTTGGCTAACAGTGTTTTTCTTGAGTAGAATGTCTATCTCTTCTTCATTTTTAAATTGCTCCCTCCCCCAGAGTCTAGCATACTGTTGCACATATCAGGTGTAATGGTGCAATATATTGTTAAAGAATAGTAATATAATGTGTTGTTAAGGAGTGAATAAAAGAAAAAAAGGATGAAAGAATAAAAAGGTCAGTCTCAGGAGGGTCAGATTCAATCCCAATGTGCCAATTTGAGATGTAGGCAAGTTACTTAAATTCCATAAAACTAATATTTTCATCTATGAATAAATTGATTTATCTGATAAGCAATAACATCTGTTTCCCCTCCAGAATCCAAAATTTTCCTATTCTATTACCTGATCCTTTTTATGTGATGTATATGTATATAAAAATACCTTTTTACACACCAGAAATTTATCAAATAATTGTTTTCCTTCTCTCCCTCACAAATTATTAACAAGTGTTCAAGTAAATGAGCCAGAAACACAGAAGACTCCACTGGTACCAAACTTCCCTTAATCACTGGCTTCAACATTATTTCCAACGGACCCTTAAAAGAACAGTGAAACTGACCAAAAAGGGACTCATCCCCTCTTCCCTCTACAACTCTATTTTCAGACTTGCTCACGAACAATGACACTGTGGGAAAAGTTAAAGGATGGAAGAAACATGCACAGGACAGTCAGTCTATGAAATGGAGCTTTAGTTTGGCTTGGAATTTCTAGGATGATTTAGGACTAACCATGACCATGACCATCACAATTAAGTATATGTGAAATAGAATATGATCATCTGAAAAGGATATCTCTCAATGTACTATATATCAGTTATTCCCAGGACTCAACATTATTATTAATATTTAACAAATTATTTCTTTGAAAAATCTACTTTTAAAAAAAATTTATTTTAGGTTCAAGGGTACATAGGCAGGTTTGTTATATGTAAATTGTGTGTCACCGGGGTTTGATGCATAGATTATTTTGTCACTCAGGTAATAAGTTTAGTATTTAATAGGTAGTTATTTGATTCTCTCCCTTCTCCCACCCTTCACCTTCAAGTAGGCCCCAGTGTCTGTTGTTCCCTTCTTTGTATCCATATATATTTAATATTTAGCTCCCACTTATTAGTAAGAACATGCAGTATTTGGTGTTCTGTTCCTGCATTAGTTCACTTAGGATAATAACTTCCATGTTGCTGCAAAGGACATGATATTCTTTTTTACGGCTGTGTGGTATTCCATGGTGTATATGTACCTAATTTCCTTTATCCAGTCTACCATTGATGGGCATGTAGGTTGATTCCATGTCTTTGTTATTATAAATAGCGCTACAATAAACATATGCATCCCTGTGTCTTTATGGTAGAACGATGTATATTCCTTCTGGTATACACTCAGTAATGGGATTGCTGCATTGAATGGTAGTTGTATTTTGAGTTCTTTGAGAAATCTCCATGTTGCTTTCCAAGGTGGCTTAATTAATTTACATTCCCACCAGCAGTGTATAAGCATTCCCTTTTCTCAGCAACCTCACCAGCATCTATTATTTTTTGACTTAAAAATCTATTTCAATCTGACTTGACTACTGCTCCCTGAGACAGTTATCTTCAATGGTATCTGTGTTTCCAAATACAGTGGTGATTTCTCTCAAACCCCACCATTATCCAGCAGCTCTACTGCTAACACCCAGGGACATGTCACTCCCATCTCTAATCTGAATTATTGAAACAACCACTTTGTTGGTTCTCGTGTTTTAACTGTTGTCAAGAATTCTAGCTATTTTCCAGAATGCAGCCAGAGTGATCCAGTTAAAACTTAAGTCAGATTGTGGAGTCCCTTCTCTTTCAGAGCAAAAGTACAAACCTTTACAATTCCTGAAAGGCTCATGCAACTTTAGCCCAATTGCGTCTCTAATCTCATTTCCTATTACTCTTCATCTTACTTATTTTATACTAGCTGTGGTGATGTGCTTATTTGTTTAACTTTCCCAGAGCTCTCTCATCTCACACCATGTGCATTTGCAGTTTTCTCTGTCTAGAATACTCTTACACATATATGTGCATGGCATGGCACATGCTGCTCCCTCACCGCCCTTGGGTCCTTCTTACATGTTAATGTAGCAAGTAAGAGCTTCCCTAAACATTCAAATATAAAACAGAAGCACCCCTCTTTTCTAACTCTGGGACATTTTTCTCTCTACTACTTATGAAAACTACTGTAATATTCCCATTTTCATTTTTATTTTGCTTTTCTATCAGTTAGATATTAGCTCCAAGAGGTCAGATAGCTTAGTTTTGTTTACTGGTATATCTCCAGGGCTTAGAACTGTGCCTGGCAGTAGCATACACTCAGCTAAATAAATAAATGTTGACTGAATAAATATGTAAGAGAAATCCAGCTTCAAACTTGGCAATTTTGTTTGCTAGCCAGCAAAACCAGTGCAGCACGAAGTAGCTCTTATGCTGTAAAATGTGTCCTCCCTTTAGACATTTCCCCTGAATTTAATCATGCCCACCCTGCAGAATGTCAGCTATTACCTTGTCCATTTGACATGTCACAGTTTGGAATTTGGGAGCAGTAGCCAATTCGGATGTTTGGATCAGTGGTAAAACACCAGGGTGATTCAGACCCATCTGGATTTCGACAGTAATTTTCTCGTAGGTCTCTGTTGAGAATAAGCATGTGAATGTAAATTGCCAGAGTTCTTACATTGGTGAAGTCAGTGTTATTACATTTCTAGAATTCCAGAATGTATGCAGGTTTATAAATAGAGTTCTAAGTTTCTGGAATTAGGATAGCTATAACAATTTAAAACTCAGTATACATACCTGACACTACCCAAATAAATGCTGTCATATGTTAATATTTTTTTCCTTCTAGAGGCCTAGAGTTTCACACAAACATTACTGCTTCAAAAAAGAGAGAAATGGTATCACTGCATTCTTCTCACTCAGTCTCAAGATTTAGACTCTCAATTGGTACCATTTTAAAACATTGGCCGTTATTTATTACATGTTCATGGCCCATATATTGTGTAGAAACAACATGTATCTCTCTTTGTGAAAGAAACGTTATTATCAATAGTCATTAACTACTCTCATTTAAAATGAAAGTTCAATCTATTCAAATATGTGCCACAGAAAATATGATAGCTATTTTTTCCTTAAGTTCTGTATTTCTTTGATTTATTTAATTTGTTGCATCAATTTATTTTAATTACAAAGCAAGTCCTTATCAATTTAAAGAGGCTACCTAAAACCTTTACAAATATTTCTTTTTTTTTTCTTTTTTTTTTTTTTTT